ACACACACACACACAGAAGAAGAAGAAGAAGAAGAAGAAGAAGAAGAAGAAGAAGAAGAAGAAGAAGAAGAAGAAGAAGAAGAAGAAGAAGAAGAGGAGGAGGAGGAGGAGAAAAGGGAGAAAAGAAAAACTAAAAGTGCTGCCAAATATTTGTTTTCAAATACTTCTTCTTTCTTTTTTTTGGGGGGGGGTGGGAGGGTCGGTCATGGGACCTGAACTCAGGGCCTGGGCACTGTCCCTCAGCTCTTCAGCTCAAGGCGAGCGCTCTACCACTTGAGCCACAGCGCCACTTCCTCCAAATACAATTTCTTTATCTCTAGCTCCTATTGATTAAAACATATGTCAGTGATAAAAGGAGTATTCTTGTGAAGCTTTTTCTTTATTTTTCACAGGATAGTCATGAAAGTATTCTTCCTTATGAAAGACAAAAATGGATTCTTTTTCTCCCACTGCTCTTTCTTTCCCTTCCCTGTTTTAAAGACAGGGTCTTGTTAGGTGGTCTGGCCTGCTTGCAAACTCACCCTGTCTCAATGTCCTCATTACGAGCATGTACCACCATGCCTGGCCTGTGCAACTGAATTAAGTCCTGCATACTGTTTGGTGTATTTTCCAATACTGGATGAGACTTGAATTCAGGGCCTCTCATCCTCTCTTGGCATTGTCCTCCAGAATGGAGCTCTACTGCTTGAGTCACATTTTTACTTCTAGCTTTTTGGTGGTTAATTGGAGAAAAAAAGTCTCATGGACTTTTCCTGAATCTCAGCTCTCAGCCTTCTGAGTAATTAGGATTATGGGTGTGAGCCATGGATGCCTAGTTAGACTTCTTTTAAATACATATGCATCCTCTCTGCTCTCCCTGAAAGGATTACATGATTGTAGAGGTGTTTACATACTGAGGCATGGCACTTCTGGTGTCCATCCTTCTGCTGTGCAAGAAATAGAATTCCAGTAGGAGTGTGATGGTGACGCCACAAAACCTCTGTCACAGAAGTAATTGAAAGATGATCCTATGGGCACTGGAAAGTATGGTTTATACCGCTCTTTGTCATATAGATTGCCATGATTTATTTTTGGAAAGTCACAAGGTTTCACTTGCAATAGAAAACAAGAAAGAAAAACTCAGTAGATCGACCAGATCATATCCTAGACGAATCCTTTCATCCATGAGTTATTTCCTATCATCGACACAATTACACACAGAGCATGGAAGTTTCTAGGCCAAGGGAAGTTAGTTTGCTAATGAAGTTGAAATGATATATGCAGGTCACCATGCAAAGGTCCTGTGAACACTTGTTAATTCCACATGTTTAAAATTATGATGCTGTGTAATTCTAGATTTAATTGGAAAATGACTTTTTTGTTGTTGTTGTTGTTGATTGTTGGGCCTGAACCCTGGGCCTGGGCGCTGTCCCTCAGCTCTTCAGCTCAAGGCGAGCGCTCTACCACTTGAGTCACAGCGCCACTTTCAGATTTTTCTGCTTACGTGATGTTGCGGAATTGAACCTAGGGCCTCATGCATGCAAGGCAAGCACTCTACCACTGAGCCACCTTCCAAGCCCAGAAAAAAATGACGTATTTTTAATGCTATAAAATATCTTTAAAAGTTGAGGCATCAGATAATTTCCTGAGTGATTCTGAGTCTATATTGAAACCCAATATTGTGTGTTGCATTCTGCACACATAATATTTTCTTCAACTGTGCTCTTTTCACGAGATTATTTAGAAATGCTTTGTATTTTTTATGCCAGAATAGCATTCCTTTGTTCTTATGCAGAATAATTCTATCTAGAAACATTATGGAATGTGTTTACACAATTTCTCCTTTCCCTCCATACATGTACACAATTATATGAAAGATTTTTAGAAGTGGAGGCATCCATTTTCTTTCTAGTTTGATTCCAGATTCTTTTTTCAAGAGTTTGTACACCCTTGTGATGTGGATTGCGCGTTTGGAATTCATGTTGATCTCAATGTCTTTGTTTAACAAACACTAGAGACTGAGTCTTCTCTGTCTACTTTCTTGTATCTTATTTCCTTTAACAGATACTTCCCCACTGTCTCATTTAGTTATTTACTCACTTGTTTAAGTATTCATGTATTTTTGTGGGTATGTATGACTGGGTACACCTTTACTAACTCGTCATACCCCCAACCCTTTAGCCATTGTTTTGTGTTGAGATGAGACTTAGCTCAACTCAAACTTGTGATCCTTCTGCTTCAGCCTCCTGAGTAGCTGGGAGTGCAGGTGCATTGTGGGCATGCCCTAAACTACATATTTTAGGCATTTGGGGACAGAGACAGAAAGCTGAGTAACTAAAGGCCATTGAACAATCCATTGTAGCATTAAGTTTTTCCTTTATTATAGAGCCAATGTAAGTAGGGGACGTGTTTATGATGTTCTGGTGGATAAAGAGGAATTCAATCATGGAGACAGATGGAAACAACAAAGGGCTGGGATGGATGCCTCACAGAAATGCGATCATCCTGATTCAAGTGTAAGAGGTTCAAGAACTTTGAAAGCCCATAGTTTTTGCCTCCCTCCTAACAGAATTTACTTTCCCTCCTTTCCTGCGTATACATTCAGTGTGGGTTGTAGGTTGGGAAGATGTTTCACTTCTAAAGAACAGACATGGTGGAAGGAATGGCTCTGAGCAGCAGCTCTGAAGAAGTGAGCCTTCGTGAAATAGCCCAGGGGGAGGCCTCCACCGAGACCTCTGTGAGGAGCCATGTTGGAAACGGATCTCACAGCCCAGCCGAGACTTCAGCCCACAACAGCCTATGTCAGCATCCTGGGCGGAGCTCCAAGCAAGCATTCCATCTCACCAGGCCTCACCCAAGCCATCCCCCAATGCCTGGCCTAGAGAAGCTGTGAGCTAACAAGGACTGTGTACAGAGAATATATATAGGGTCTTGTTTTGGGGAGAAATGTGTAAGTAGCACAATGAATAATATGTTAAGTATAAACCTAAAAGTATTACCTAGGAGGGATGGTGGCATGGTCAGTGGTATTGTTCTTGCCTTGTCTGGGAAGCCCTGAGTTCAAATCCCCAGCACCACAGAGCATGGAGTGGCCATCTTCCTCCCCAGTGCTTCCAATTCAGATATTGGGAGCATTTTCTTAATTGGAGAAACGGATGTTTATGGACACACATTTCATTTGGAGTGACCAGCAATGGAAAGCAGGCTCATGCGGTCTTGTTACTGCTTACTGTCAGCTATTCCGCAAAGCAAGGAACGCTGCCCCCCCCCTTCTCTACTTCACATACACAGCATCAGAGAGTTCGTTTTTATTTTATTACATCTCTGCTTCTGTACACTTGAAAGGAAGCAGACTCAGAGGAAAAGTATTCCAGAACCAGTGGAACTTACAGATGCACCGGGGTGCGGGCACCCACCCGGTGCTGGTGCATTTCACCACGTTTGCCCGGGTGGAGGGGTAAAATCCATCGTTGCATTGGTATCTGACTTCATCTTCAGTTCTGTGTTTAATCCTGTGAGGTGAGTAGACGCCATTTGGAATGTAAGGAGGCTTGCACGTCGTTTCTGCAAAAGAAAGCTACGTGAATGAGGTAGAAGTGGCCGCCCATGAAACTTGATTACGTATATCACGACGGAAGACATGACCGTCATTGATCGGTCCTCAGCACTGCACGAAACGACAGGAAAATGAGTGAAAGGAGTTTTATATGCTTCAAGATGGATCCCTTAAGCCACTACTAGAGCTCGAACTCAGGGCCTTGTGCTCTTGCTCATATTTCTTGCTTACTGTGGTATTCTACCACTTGGAGCCACACCTCCAGTCTAACGTTTTGTTGGTTAATTGGAGATTTAGAAAGTCTAGGCATGGACTGCTTTAGAACCACAGTCCTTTGGATCTCAGTCTCTTGAGTAGCCAGGACTCTAGGTGTGAGCCTCTGTTGCCCAGAGAAGCCAAGCAACTTCGTTGAACACACTTAGCCACTCTGAGTGCAAATGACCTGCCGGAGACTGCCCTTTAGGAATCTAGTGGGCAAGGCTCTGGTAATTCACTTAAGATGACTCTGTTTCTTTTGGCAGCGGAAGATTTGAACTCTTGGCCTTGTGCTAGCTCTGCTTGCTCCCTTGGCGCCTCTCTACCACTTCAGCCAGGCCTCCGGCTTGACCTCTAACGTGAACATGGAAGACAACTGAACTAGCGCCTCCTTGATGATCTTACTCATGTTTTGTTTTATTATCGACTGTTCTGCTTCTTATAAATTTAGATATAGTGGTGAATTTGAATTATACACAGGCCAAGAAACTAAGGTCTATATATTTGCAGTACAAGAAAACAAGGTGCATTTGCAAAATATTAGCTGAAGTACAGAAAGAAGAGTGCTTTTGTCAACATGAAACTCTATTAATATACTCCAGTTAATGCAAATATCATATTAACATAGTATGTGTTATTGTATTGACATTATTTTACACTATTACCTGCATATAACATTATATTAACATATTAGCATATTATAGGTTAAACTATATTACTCTAATTAATATAAAGTATATTTCATTAAACTTTAACCCATTGGAAAGAGATTGAATGCCTATTGAAACCAGTCTTGATTATCATTATTATTATTATTGCTATCCTTCTTCTAGCATGATTTCTGAAATTCTTTGTGTATAACTTCTAGGTCAGAATAGTGTGAGAGTTCCCCTGTTAAAATGAGGCGGCTGCGCAGCACACAGTGTTCCTGTGGGGCAGAGAGTCCAGCTGGAACCTGGAACTCGCTCCCAGCTCTGCCGGCTCCCATGGCGAGGACACCAGCACAGTCCGGCTGTGTTCTGCAGTGGCTGCTGACTGGTCATCGGTAGCAGCCTGATAGCGAAAACCTCCACTTCCTTCCCCGCAATACGGGTTTTCTCACCTCACCGGAATACAATTTCTTTTTAAAGCTTTCTTCTCGGGTCAGTGTTTGGAGAATTATCGAGTCGGGGGCATTCGGAAACCCGTGACAGGGCTGCCTCTGTCCCCCAGAGATGTGGCGAGTGAAAAATTCATCCCAGATGGTCTCAAAAGGAACCTTGCACGCTGGAGATGCTGGGCTACACTGTTGTGTGTTTTTTTAAAAAAAATAATAGTGAGTCCCTACACAATTATGGCCCTCTAGTTCTGACAATAATAAATTGCTGAATTAAAAGGATTATATTAATGGAGATAATTGGGGAGGGGTGTGTAGCTCAGTGCTAGAGCTCTGGCTCTGGCTGCTAACCCAGGACACACACACACACACAGAGCGCAGGACTGTGGTGACGTACCTTCACAGGAGGGCTGTGGATTCCAGCCGGATGCCGTGCACACAGCATCTCCTCTTTCCGTGTAATCAAACCCGGGGTGACATTTATACTGAAATCGTTCATTCTCCTTAAAAATTCTCCCCGTGGACAGAGGGTATCCATTTTGAATTTCTGGCAACGTGCAGGATATTTCTAAATGCAAGGGATTCATTCTGAAGTGTTTATTAGGAATTAAGAAGCTTGTGGGTAAATCATATTTACATAAAGTCAGAAACGGTGTTTCCACTCAGGTGAATCAGCTGACCAGGTGAAAAGAGGTTTGGACTTGACTGTCTGATGGATGATTTATCTGTGGTTCTGAACTTTCACTTTGGAAAGAAGTTAAAATTCTCATTAAAGTTGTTTCTAATTTTATTTTGCTTAATGGCAAATCAGTCCTCCTAAAATAAATTGGCAGCCGGTTAGTCATCAGATGTGTGTATGAGATTAAATGCAGAGCAGTGTGCTGGGATTTACAGTTTCATCCAATCACCTTCAACAAAGGTGACTCATGCCTGGAACCTTAGCCGTTTTGTAGGCTGAGATCTAAGGATGGCAGTTAGAAACTAGCCCAGGTAGAAAGGCTCTTATTTCTGATGAACCACCAAAAAAGCTAGAATTGGAGGTGTTGATTAGTGGTAGAGCGCTGTGGTAGAATAAAAATAGTTAAGGCCCTGGGTTCAGTACTAGTGAAAGAAAGAAAGAAAAAAGGAAAGAAAGAAAAGGAGGGAAGGAAGGAAGGAAGAAAGTAAAGTTGTTTTTTGTTTGTGTCTTCAGCGCCCCAACCCAATAAAACAAGCTGGCCATCAGCTTTGGCAGGACTTCTTTCTAATGTTTTTTTTTTTTTCTCCCTAGGGTTATAACAATGATAACTCCCTTTCCTCCCAAATTATCTTCTCTTTTTCTCATCCATTCTCCTAGTGTATAACTTAGAGAACTTCCAAGGGGCCATCTCTTGCCCTGCTTGAAATCCTGAATTGATTCCCAAATCAGACAGAAGCAGAGCCCAGTGCATAAGCCTGGTGCATTCAGCCCTTCAGGGCAGAAGCTATCTGGTCCTCAGTCCTACTCTGACAGGTCACTGGCCAGGGATCAGGGGCAGCAGACCAGCCCCAGGGAGCCGTGTACTCTGCAAGCTACAGCCATGCCTATCCTCCCCATGAGTTCTTACCCCTTCCCTTGTCCTCTTCACTTAAAATCCATCTCCCCTTCTTCCCGAGGACTTGCCTGAAGCAGCAGCAATTCCAGGAGAATCCCACGGATTACAGAAAGCTAGCTGCAGAGTTGCAAATGCCTCCATAAATGGCTGAAGTCTACAAAATTTGCTACACTGAATAAAATGCTAGCCTATTCTTAATGAGAGAACTCTGTATTTTTAGTGTCAGACTGAGAGATGTCAACAAATGAACAGGACAGAAATGTCTACTCAAATTAACAGAACATAACATAACCTGCTAGACTAACTAGTTGCCCACAATGTTTGGTACAAAAGCCCAATGTATCCATCAATCATGATGGGTAAGTCAGCAATAGCAGAACCAAAAACATTCATTAAAGAAATCTTGACCTGGAGTTTAATATAGAGATTTCCAGAAAGACAGAAAATTATTTAGTGGACTCATTTATGTTAAACTTATAGCATGAAACAAAACTAAATGATTCACTTCCTAGAGATGTTCAAAAATATAATATCATCCTGCCTAATCAATCACTGTCAAAATCATGGAGATGAATATATTCTGGGGTCAATATTACAACGTGTCAGAGAAATTCTGAAATTCATCTGACAGGAGCCAACTTCAGTGTACTTATAGTGAGAATATATTGTGTAATGACCTAGGTTGGAACCTATTTATATTTTGGCCAGTAGTGGGCCTCGAACTCAGGGACTCATAGTTGCTTAGTTTGCTTGCTGGGTTGTAGCAATACCACTTTAGCCATGCCTCCAGCCTAGCTTTTTGCTGGTTATTTTGGAGATAGAATCTTATCTTGCTGATTTTCTGCCCATGCTGGCCTTGAACTATGATACTCGAGCTCTTAGCTTCTTGAGGAGTTAGGATTATGTGTGAGCTACTGGCATCTGACTTCAGGTTTGATTTTCACTGGACCCCTTATGGTCATAGTAATTCAGGGAAAATGATTCAACTGCATAACACGGTTTGTTCAATTGTAAAGTAGAAGTGATAAGAGAACATTAATCATATATTTATTCATGTGTGTGTGTGTGTGTGTGTACACGTGTTGCTCTCCTAGGGCTTGAATTCAGGGCCCAGGTACTGCCCCTGAGTTTTTGTGCTCAGGGCTAGCACTCTACCACTTGTGCCACCCAGGCTGGCTTTGAACTGTGATCCTCAGATCTCAGCCTCCTGAGAGGCTAGGATTGCAGGCGCGAGCCACTGATGCCCAGCTATCTACCTATTCTCCAGATAAAATAAGATGACCTTTGCAAAAACAAAAAAACAAAAAACCTCCCAAAAGTCTTGAATTTAAAAGAGTACGTATTTCACAAACACTTAGAATTCGTTGTGCTCTTTCGAGTTGACACTTGCTTTGAAACATCTATTATCCTAAGAAAAGCTAAACATGCGCGCCATGAGCCCTGAGCAGCCGAATCTCACCCACACAGGCCGGCTTCTCGCTGCTCCAGCGGCCGTCCTCCGCGCAGTGGACCTCCTTGGGACCCTCTCTTCTGAAGCCCGCGTTGCATTCAAACTGGATCACTTGTCCAAAATAGTACTCCTGGTCCACCTCCATCCCACTGGTGATAATCCTCCCGTTCTTGGGCTCTGTGAGCGGCAAACACTTCACAGCTGCAAAGAAACACAGTGCTTTCTCACGGCACTTAAAGAACATGGGCATCAGCCAGGGTAGGCTGTAAGAGATTCTGCTTCTAAATGACTCAGCAACCCCAAAATAAAATGTCCCTCTGATTCTTTTGTATGGGATGGCCCAAGAAAGTTAGTCCTTAGGATGTTAGGTTATGTTTTTGTGATGTCTCCCAGAATTTAGAAATAAGAATCTTGGGATAATAAAGTACAAACTTTCCACGTGTGCTTCAGAAAAAGATGACACTGTATCATAATATCTGTAAAAGGAAATTTTATGATACATAGTTTAATAGAGGAATTATCTATAGTTTACTTTTCATCTCATTCAAAAATAATTTGAGGGCTTCTTTTTTTGGGGGGGGTCTGGTCATGGAGCCTGAACTCTGGGCCTGGGCACTGTCCCTCAGCTCTTCAGCTCAAGGCTAGCACTCTACCACTTGAGCCACAGCGCCACTTCCGGCTTTTTTCTTTCTGCTTATGTGGTGCTGAGGAATTGAACCCAGGGCCACAGGCATGCAAGGCAAGTGCTCTACCACTGAGCCAACTTCCCAGCCCGAGGGCTTCTTTTGATTTTAGTTAAAAAAAATTTTGTTTTTGCACAGCTAGGGTGTTCAAACTTTATTGTACTATAGAATTACCCTGGATGTCTGTTAAAATTGGAATTCTAGAGCTGTTTCTCTGCACAACTGCCTCCCAAACATTGATTGAATGGATTTTTTTTTTTTTAGTAGCCCAAAGTCTCAGTTTTCTAAAGAAACAAGCAGAGGTGAGTTTGATGGAGCTATTGCCTCAATCATCTTCCTCTTATTTCCACAGATGAAGAATCTTTGGATAATCAAGTAGATAGTTGCACACCTTTCTCTCTGTGTCTCTCTCTGTCTCTGTCTCTCCCACTTTCTCCCCCGCACCATCAAAGTAAGACCTGTTATTCAAATTGGTGTTTGAAACCTAGGAAGCGGAACCTACATGTTCTCGTTCTGTCTCTTCTCTCCACAGTAATTCTCTCTAGTAATTCCTGACCTTTTCCTCAGTAGAAAGATAACCACAGGAGACGCTTCCTCACCGACAGCTGGCGGTCAGTTCAGGAGAGACATTTAAGTCATGTTCTGTGTTCCAGTTGAGGCTCCTGTATTTGGGTGTCCCTGCGTGGGCTGTCCTTCATTACCGAAGCAGAAAGTCTGATCCGCTTTAGGCAAGTGATGCCATGTGTGTATTTCCAGTGCTGAGAAGCCAGAAGCTTTCCTCATACCAACTAAGGGTTTTCTGAATGCATCAGGATATATTGGTGCCAGGTAGATTATGGGATTTAGGGGAATGAGGAGGGTGATGGGGAATGAACCTCGTCCCTTAGACTTAAAGCACTCTACTACCGAGCTACCTTTTCAGCACCCATATTGGGTATATTAAGACACAAAATAATGCAGTGATAAAGTGACCAAGTTCTCCGTTCTCTACTAGAAATCATAAAAATAGTTTGAATGAGAAATATTTAATCACAGGCCTCAAGGATATTTTAATGTGAACCATTAAAAAAAATCTTAGGTAATTCGGGTGTTTCAAGATCATTGTGAATGGGTTTTATACTTACTTTCACATGTAGGAACATCATTGGACCATCCGTCTGCTTCACAGTCACGGAAATTAGTTTCACCTATCAACTGATACCTGGAAACCCAAGTAGCAAAATGGTCAGATACTATTGTGCAGCGGTGTTTCTGTGCGGTCCTAGACTCAATGCCATTCTGAGTATTATGTAGGAGCTCCACTCCATGGAAAGATAATAACGAATGTATGTTTTCCTACTTTTATCTTTCTTCATTCATTTCTCTTCCCCCTTGCCTCCATCCTTTCCTGCTTTTTACCCTCCCTCCATTCCTCTCTTCCTTTTACCCATCATTCGTTCATTCATTCGTTCCTTCCTTTCTTCCCTCCTTCCTTCCTTCCTTCCTTCCTTGCTTCCTTCCCTCCTCCCTCCTTCCCTCCTCCCTCCTTCCCTCCTCCCTCCTTCCCTCCTGCCTTCCTTCCTTCATTCTTTCCTTCCTTCCCTCCTTCCTTCCTTCCCTCCTTCCTTCCTTCTTTCCTTCCTTCCTTGCTTCCTTCCTTGCTTCCTTCCCTCCTCCCTCCTTCCCTCCTGCCTTCCTTCCTTCATTCTTTCCTTCCTTCCTTCCTTCCTTAATTTCTTCTTTACTCTTTGTCCTCTTTTTCCTTTTCCTTCTCTTTTCTTTCTTCTTTCTTTAAAAGGCTACAAGGCCACTAAATATCTCCACATGGATATTCATCCCCTTCATCTACAAATAAGGATTCTTCTGCTCATCACACAAGTGAAACAAACTTTCTCCCTCACAACATGCTTTATCTTCCTTGGATTGTTCTTCTTTCTTAAAAAAAAAAGTATATTTTCTCCGTTTTAAGTGAAGCATTTTCTCCATGCCTCGTGCAGAGGAAATGAAACCACAGGTTACCCAGGCAGTTCCTGAGCTCCCCTGTGAAGCCAAATACACCCTTTCCAACAGAGAGAGATTCTCAGAGTCAACATCCCCTCATTCCACAGCTGGATGAAAGATTCACCTTTCTTCAGAGAGGCAAAAACCTCCCCTCAGCCAAGCTTCCAAATACCATTCACTAGGTCTGATCCTGGACGATCTGAGGACTTTTGTTTTTGTTGATAATTGTCAGTGATTTCTCTAGTAGAGTTCAATTGAGGTGGAAGCTGATTGTTGAGACAGGTTCATAGTGGGGTGTATCAGCATTCGCCCCTAATTTATACACGATGAAGGGCATTAAAGGAGAATTGGGTCAGAGGAAGGTAGGCAGCTGATTTTGTCGCTAAGTTTTAGATATGAATTCCTGACACTGGCAGAATTAAAGACAGAAGTATATGTATTTTGTTTTTGCCAGGACAGAGGTGAAACCTGAAAGTTAGCAGACTCTCTTGGAAGGAGAGATTTTTTTTCTGATTAATATTATGCAGAATGAATTAAGTCCCCCCTCCTTTTTTTCTTTTTCTTCTTATTCTTTTTTCTGGTCAGTCAATGGGGCTTGAACTCAGGACCGAGGTGCTGTCCCTGAGCTCCTTTTGTTCAGGCTAGGGTTCTACCACTTTGAGCCATAATGCCACTTCCAAGAAGAGAGATTTCACAGATGAAGAATGGAGTGAATTAGGCCCAACGGGAATCAATCTATTTGGATGTGTGTAATGAGGTCAGCAGTAATGCAAGTTGGACTTTTGAAAGTTGGACTTTTTTAACAAATGCATGTTTAAAAAATTCTCCCTTGGATAGTGAGCAATGAGAGGCTAGATTCATAAGCATGAGTCTTCATAAAGTGTTTATCCATATCCCAGGATCTTGTCTAAAGACTTTGCGTGTGGCTGTATTGATTCTGCCACCATCCCAATGGTACACGTCATAAGCTTCTGCTTTTGTAACACAGGGAATGGAAATGAAGCACTACGTCAAGAAATACAGGTAGATGTTGAGCGTTGGAGTTTGGGAATGGGGGCTCACTCTACAACCTCAGCTCTCGGCTATTGTATTTTAATGTCTTAATGTCTCAAGTCAAGATGTAGTCAGGGGAAGAATTATAAGCCTCCACTTGCAATCTCTTGATCCTAGCTACCTTGGTGTAGTGTAAAATCAGAACGACCTTATCCTGGCTTTACCCTATATAACTTTGCCTCCAGAATGATAATGACTTGTGGTCTGGAGAAGAATACTGAGGCAGTCCAGTCGGGAGATCAGCCTCGAAGCCCCCATGGCTGGTCGGGATGCAGGAGCGAGCAATTGTGGGAGGAAAGCATTTTGGTCTACCTCGTCACTTACCCACCAGGCCCCTGCCATCACTGGACTCACAGGTAAGGTGCATGCGCCCTTCACTCTACGAGGGGTCTCCGAGGTAGGTGTCCTTGTATTATAATTTCCACCAGCCGTGCGGAATTCCTGTGCTCTTTACCTCGCAGAGTGTGGTAAAGCCTTTCGTCGGAATGCTGAGCTAGGCGAATACTGACCAGGGGAACTAAACTCATTTTAATTTCTCAATGTGAAGGAGGCAAAATGGCATCCAAGTGAGACCCTCCAGGCCACTGCTGAATTCTTCATGCTTCATGTGTGCTGGGCTGTTGTTTTTAAGTAGAACTAGGGGAACACATCACGTCACCTTAAAATACAGATCAGTAGAGCTGTTTACAGCTTGGAGTCCAAACCTTCTCACGCTGCGTACATACCCTTCGTCACAGGTGTAAACCACCCTGGCACCGAATTCAAACTCGCTTCCCACGGTGAGCTGGAAGGAGCCAAAGGGCATGTCCCCCGGATGTCCGCAGGGTCTCTCTAAGGTGGAGAAACAAGCACACCACATGCAAGAGGGTGACACAGAGCTGGGGACAGGGATGTTCCAACTACATCACAGGATGGCGGTGGGACAAGGACACTGCAAATGGCAACACTGTCCTCCTCCTGCTGAAAAGATCCACGCGTTACAATCAAACGCTGTATAGGATTGCCCCGCACCAATGTCTCAACACCTGTCATCTTAGCTACTCTGGAGGCTGGCCTCTGGAGATCATGGTTCAAAACCAGCCAGGGCAGGGAAGTCTCAGGTCCAAAGAACAAGCAAAAAGCTGAACGTGGAGGTGTGGCTCAAGGGTCTTGAGTGAAAGAGCTAAGTGAGCACAAGACTCGGAGTCCAGCCTTCATACTGGCACCGAGATAGAAAGATAGATATGTAAATACACTTTATAAATAAATAGGAAAATGCATTTGTAGAACGAGCGCTCTCTTTACAAATACTGATGTGACTGGAGGGAGAAAGGGTGGCTGCAGGCAGGCATGGAGGTCAGAATCGCGACGTGCAGAATGAGTCAAGCCACCCGAGGGCAGGGAGGGGACGGGAGAGCTGCGGCCACGAGAAGGCAGGGGTGTGAGTGAGAGGGTAACCGCCCAATAGCAGCGGTGAGATCCCAGTGACCATGCTGTGTTTTGTACGGCTGGTGTCACTCAGCCCGGAGGGTGTCCTGCTGAATACTTAGCATTCTCATAAGGAGCGGTTTCATGGTGTTTAGAAAGGAGCAATGAGCACTTACTCCGACAGACCCGGTTTGGGTTCACAGACACCCATTCTCCACTCCTGCACACCATCTGGATCGTGCCCAGAGTCCGGTACCCCGGCCGGCATTTGTAGACGGCCTGCTTGCCCTCCGGGTAGGTTTGCTCAGGCCAGGAACCCGACAGGACCTCTGTGGTTTTTTTGGGAGGAGGTCCTTGGCAATCTATGAATAAGGAAAATAAAACAAACTAAGCTTGGAATCGCTGCTGGGATGTGTGGCGTGCTTCGATGAACGTCAGTCGACAGGATGGTGCAGCTCCAGGTCCATTCGGGTCGCGTTATCAAGATGTCTGTGGGCTGGAGGAACCTCAGGAACAATGTGAAGAAGGTAATGCCATCCAGATTCGACATTCATGTGCTACCCGAAAGCCACACCATAAACGTGTGACTAGATACATGACGACTCGAGTCAGGTGCATGCCACGGGAAATTTGATGCACTTGAAGAAAGCTGGATGTAAAAAGAAAATGTCCAACTGAAGTACAGGAAGAATATAGAAACCACGTGAAACATGGGTGAAGGGGCCGCTTTGGAACAAAATGCCGGCCCTGCCTACACACACACACACACACACACACACACACACACACACACACACACACACACACACACACACACGAGGACCAGAGCAGAAGGGATTATCTACAAACTTGACATCAAATCTGTTGTCACACTGGTTCTGGACTCTACAGCCTCAAGAACTAAAAACTACACGAAAAAAAAAAAAAAACCAACAAAAAAAACAATGGTCCATGGTTAGCCAGGTACCAAGCTGATGGCATGTTGTCCCAACTCAAATGGGCTCAGACAGCTTGTGTGAATGCTGAGGTTATAGAAGCAGAACAGAGATAAACATTCCAAGATTAAATACTAAAAGCTAGCCAACTCCAAAAAGATCAGGAGAGGGGATTTAATTGAACGTCAGATTTTTAAGTCACACCGATGAATTTTATTCCACAGATTCGGATCACATGGTCGCATGCCGCCTGGCAGTGTGAGGTCCTGAGTTCAAGCCCCAGTACCAGCACTCAAGCAAGCAGATGGTTTTCAAAGGAAATCCACAGAACAACGTTAAAACAACTTACAGTTGATGTCTAGTGAGATAATGGAATAGGAGTATCCATGCACAAACTGTCGCAGTAAAGTAGACGTTATTATAATACCACTAAGCAAAGAAGAACTCAGTGTATAAAGCACGGGCAGGGATTACAAGAAAAATCGCTTTGCAGTGACAAAAGTTCTTCTAGTAAGAAGTGTGTGACGATTTTCAATGTGGAGCAACTCGTCAATGAGGTCACAGATCTATGAGAGACTTTAGCATTCCTCACATGGGAATTGATGGGAAAAAGAAGAAAAATTTATAAGGACATAAAAATTTGAAAGGTCATAGAATAATTGACCTGATTTATACACAAAGGATATTGTACCCAACAATATTGTAGGAATACATACAATATGTTAAAAATAAATTATATTAGGTGATCACATACATCCTGATAAATCTCAAAATACCCACCTCAATGCAACAAGAGAAAGAACTAGTAAATAACTGGAAGCTATAGTGGATTTGTGACTTAGTAAATCTCCTTTAGTGGAGGAAATGAAGGAATCACAGTGGGAATTAGGAAATATTCTGAAATGAACAATATGAAAATCTAGTAAAACTCCAGAAGACCAGGCACAGATTGAATAACATGACAGAGTTCCCCCACAAGCTCCACTGGGTTAAATGAGCAAATAATAAAAACAGCAAAAGCAAATGAAAAAGTCCATAACAGACCAAGTACCAATGAAGCTGATCACTAGGTTCTATTGACAACTTAAGTAGAATGGTTGTGATTCTAGGAAGATTAATTAAGAGAGAAACAGAGAAGGAACAAAGGACTATGGTGAGAGTAAAAAGGAACAACCTAAGACATTTTGGGAACAGTGAAAAGATTTTAGCAGGATGCCATACTTTAGAAAATATGGATAAAATAAATTTCTTTTAAAAAAAGCTTAGCAAAATTGACACAAAAAGTCTTTAAAACCACAGGAGTCCTAGAGTCAGAGAGATGAGATTTGGCCTCTGTAGAAAGAGTTGGTTTCTGCAAAGTATTGAAGAAAAATAACCTTGCTATTAAGACCTTACAAGACAAGTAAAAATATAAATATATAAATAAACGAGAGGAAATGCCCGAGAGCCACACACTTGTGAAAATTTCCTCAGACTGCAAAAAGAAAATTAAAATGATAAGCCAGGAGCCAGTGGCTCACACCTGTCATCCTAGCTACTCAGGAGGCTGAGATCTGAGGATCACGGTTCAAAGACAGCCTGGGCAAGTCCCCACGAGACTCTTATCTCCAATAACCACCAGAAAACCTGAATTGGCGCTGGGGCTCAAAGTGGTAGAGCGCTAGCCGTGAGCAAAAAAACTCAGAGACAGCTCCCAGGCCTTCAGTTCAAGCCTCCCTACTGACCAAAAGAACAACAACAACTTACAATGTAAAAATGGCATTTGCAAAAATTAAAGTTTAAAACTATCTCAGGATCTGGAAAGAAAGTGCCGCATTCAGAAGTGTTTGTGGGGAAAAATGGAACTTTTTCATGAGAAAAGTGTTGTTGAAAATACGCACTGTTGTCCCAATCAGGACTGTTTTAACAGAAATCCTGACATCTGGTGGGTCAAAAATAACAAGATATTTTTCATATTCATGGAAGTTATGAAGCATGAGACAGGAGTTTGCTCAAGTATGGTGTACCTTGTTAGTAAAAGGCAGTCTTTCCTTGTATGCTGAAATGGGGGGAAGAGGGCAGAAAGGGAGGGAGAGAAAGAGAGAGGGACAGACAGACAGACACAGAGAGACAGAGACAGAGAGAGACAGAAACAGAGAGAGACAGAGACAGACAGAGACAGAGACAGAGACAGGGACAGAGATCCAGGCAGACAAACACAATACCGAGATAGAACCAGAGAATGGAGTTTTGGTTTTTCCTTTATAAGTGTAGCAATCGCATCCTGGAGACTCTCCCTCAAAAAACCATCCAAACCTAATTACTTCCCAGAGACCCATGTTAAGGTTTTAGCATATTAGTTCGGAGAGGAAACAGTAGAATATCTATTGTTCAGCGATCTTATTCCTACAAGTGTATCTTAGAAGAATGCATGCATAATGAATTAGATTTCACAGGTGGTAACCATCTTGTTAATAACCATACAATAAAGTAATCCTGATATCTATCAATAGTTAAATAAATAAACATTTATGTTGCAAGTATGCAATGGAGTATTGCACCATTGCCATACTATGAATAGAAAATAACAAGTAAAAATTTACATAAAATATTATAGGACTATTACATCAATATAAAATGTGGGAACAGACATTGGCTATAATAAGATGTCTATATAGGATGTGAAGCTATTAGAGAAAAGCAAAACACAAAACATGTGTTATGAAAATACCAAGATAAGGGCTGGGAAGGTGGCTCAGTGGTAGAGCGCTTGCCTAGCATGCATGAGGCCCTGGGTTTGATTCCTTAGTGCCACATAAAAAGTAAAAGCTGGAAGTGGTGCTGTGGCTCAAATGGTAGAGTGCTAACCTTGAGCAAAAGAAGCTCAGGGACAGTGTCTAGGCCCGAGGTCAAGCCCCACGACTGGCAAAAAAAAGAAAGATAATATATTCTCCTAGGAGAAACTTAGAGGTTCTAATCTAAAAGAGATCAGGAAGTGTTTCCTCGGATTCTGGAAACATTATTGTTCTTGCCATAAATAATTGCAGCTATTTGTAAGACAGTATGCACTTGTAATAAGGCCTGCTTATATTTTATCCAAGTGTATGTTTGGTATTTTATAATAAAATATAAGAGTGCATATGTAGTATTACTCTTATTTTACAAAAGATTAATTAAGCACATGGTGCAGAAAAAAAAGACAGAAAATTGATCAGCTCATGCCTACTGATTTTAATAGCTAATATTTTAATACTGCCTACTCATTAATTAATATGTAGCAATCTTGATTTAGGATGATTGCATTTGCAAATTCAACACATCTGTGTTTTAAATGGCAGACTCCATACTTTTTAAAATAATTTAGCAAGTCTGAAGTTGTTTTCCTTGCTGTTTGCTCAGCGTTTTGTGGGTGGAAGTGCTCTATGGGCACTCTGCCACCTGAGCCAAGCCTACAGCCCACTTATTTGGTTTTATAATAACAGTATCATATTCTTCTATTCTAGAATTTCTGTTTAAAAGGCAAGGCAGAGGAAATCAACAAAGCCAGATCCTTTGGTGGAACATATCCATGTGAACACATTTTGCATTTCATCAACGTCCACAGGTAGCCATATTTTATGAAGGGAGAAAATTGTTGCACTGGTCTGCCATGTGTACTGAGTTTTTGCTGTAAAGATTTCACGAAGTTTGAGCACATTGGTGTTAAGGAAACTGGGTAATGCAGGTCGACCAGCTTGTTTTATGAACTAAACTTTTCTCCACTAGGTGGTGCTAGTATCCTAGCACAAAACAAACCTCCCCCCCACCAATCACTGCCATCATCCAAAGCCTGATGTTTTTGTTTTTGTTTAAAATTGCATGCTCATGTTTTTGCATGGAAAATTACCCTTTAATTGCAGATTGAAATGTGGTATTCCTCCCCACCCCCGCCCCTTTCAACACTGAGATCTCTTCATGGTGTTCTGGTTACTGGAAAAATAAATTAAATTCCAAATGATAGATTCCAGCACCATGAGTAGAAAATTATTTTCCACGATGATAACATTTTGATAAATTTGGTTCCTTTCCTTTTTTGATCTAATGCAACAAAAGAACAATGCCGATTTTCCTATCAACGTAGTTAATTAAAATGATTTTAAAAAATTACAGCAATCCTCTACTCAAACTGGGAATTCATTCTCAGAGTTCAGCCCTCTGGCTTCCGAGGGGTGTATGATTCTTTGCTAGTCATAATCACGTTTCCAAATAACATCCGTATACTCTCAGTATACTCTAATTCTTGCTTTTGTGAATTTAATTACTTTAAGAAAGCAAAGGATATAACTAAATCAGAGCCACCTCTGATTTTCATAGTTGGTAGAACAATTTTTTATTACATGCCTGTGTAATAAAATTCCACACCCTTTTGTCTAGTTTTGTACGAATCACTAATTCATCGAGGACTATTGACCTGTGACAGAGCAAAAATGCTGGGATTGAACTGTCACAGAATTGAGCTGTAACAATCATCAGCTGTAACAAACAACTGTTTGCGCTCAGTGTAAACGCATGGGGTGCTAATTAGTCATTAATAAGTTATTTGGGCTGCAGTATCAAACTGTCGCACGTACGCACATCAACCTGACGTATGTGAATTAAAA